GTAGCATGAGCCCTTTTCGAACAACTGCTGTATGAAGTGCTGGAAGACATGGTCATTCAAATTACTAGCAGTGTTCTTCAACTCAACAAGGGTTCTAAACAGTCATGTGAAAGCAGTACTTATGCCTACACTTAGAATGGAAATTTTTTCGAACATTTCTTAAATAAATATAAATTACGATTAGTTTTGAATATTTTCGATGATCAGCTTCTACTCTCCGATGCAGATGGGCATTACGCAGTCGTAAGAGTGTCAAACTCAAGGGGAACAGCAACCAATAGTGTTCGGATCCCGCGCAGGTGAATAGGTTTTGACCCGCTCGACATTCATAAATGTGTATTACTTTCTGGGAAAGAAGCATGAGACTGCACATATGCTTATTCCGTTGCCGACGTCGATTGCGCATTTAATATAGGACACGTCTGGCGAATGGCAATGAAATGAATATTAACGTTGCGACAGTTAACTAATGGAAATCGTTGTAAAATTAGTTTTTTTGTTTATCTCAATGACAAAGATCTTTGTTGGCTGTTCCCCTTGCAGAAAAACAACACCTATAATCGTTCCTCAGACGGAGCAACGTAATCGCCTTGACCCTTCAAACAAATCATCATATGTTCATAGAAAAGTGGAGAACTGCAATCGCCCTTTGAAGTGATGTCAGCGCGGCCAAACCTCAACCGTTCGCTAAAAGAGTTGTGACGATCTAAAAATAAATGCGATAAAACATTTTAAAATAGTCCCACGCATTACCTGAGAACCTTCCCCATCCAAGCATTCCACAGATCATGCCAACAGCAGCAGTTTTGAAATACAAGTGAGCAGGTAACACGAGCTCGTTGATTTGGATTTGATCCTTCGGCATGATCAATGCAATTCCATAAATCCCGGACGCGTGAAGAGCATTCTCGTAGAAGATATACGACTTTGCAAATGTTTTGAATGCCCCATTTCCGGCAGCATGCAACAAATGCGTTCCAAACGTCATTACGATTGATCCAGGTCTGATCATTTGTGTTCCGCTGAAAAATGAAAACAAAAATGTTAAATATTGAAT